ATGAGAAAAACTGAATACATTCTTAACATACTCCGTATCCAACGATATTACATTCTAAGATAATACTTCCTCCGTTCTTTAATTCTTGCAACATTGTGATTTTTGCACTATTCACAGATCTTGCTTTGACCACGATTTTTCTACTAATATACATAATCAAATTATTACATATAAGATGTTATTAAATTCCTATCAATGTGAATTTTCAAAATATCAAATTTTTATAATGTTTACTAATACAAAATTAAATATAATTACAGTCAAAGTTGTGCGTTGACAAACGTGAAAGTCAAACTGTTGCAAGAATTAAAGAACGGAGGATAGGATGACATTTCTTAAACCTAACCCTTAAAGAGTAAACCAATCCACCAATCACGACTAGCAAGTAGCACTGTAGCACCTATCTTCATCGAGCCACCGCACTGATAATTTCAAAATTATTAGACCTTAGCCAACTGTTTTAAACGTCGGTATAACAAAGATTTAAGATAATTTCATACGATTAGTAAAATTTTGACATAAACAAAAACAAAGAGGTCAAAATTTCACATCATATTTTTTTAATCCTCATTACATTGAATTTGTCAAACCCCTACCGTGAAGTAAAGACTACATTGAACCTTTCGATATTTAATAATAAAATAAAGAAAAAAATATGAAAAAAAGTTAAAATAGTTCTTCACACAATTCAACCATAAAATTTATTAATTTGAAGTATTATATAATCAATAATTCAAAGTGCGAACTAAAAAAACTAGTGTTGAGAAAAAAATAAAGTACAGAAAGAAACACAACTTATTTTTGTAAAAGTAAGATCAATAAACTCAATTTAAATAATTTCTCAGAAAGATTGTATGGTTCCTCAAATTTGAAGTTCATTTTCTTCGTTCTAAAGTAATACTCAATCCCTTATCTTTTGTAATATTTTTATAATTTTACTTAAAACAAAATAAATAATTCAATTTTATCCATATTTTATACAAGTACTCAACCATTTCATAAGAAGTGATTAAGTGAATACTCTGCTCACACTGGATGGCAAAGAAACTCCAACATGAGATAATCAGATAATCTTCTCAAGATAAAACAGTGCATTCAAAGTTTGGAAAGTTTAATTTATCAGTAATATCTTTAAATGTTTTGTGATAACTAATAAACCGAAATATAATTATGATATGTGAATTCCACAGGAATGCGAATCTCCTTACTCATCAATTAAGGCTTACAGTTTTCTCCTTAAACTTCTCCAACTTCATTCTTATGCTTTCTCCTTCTCCAACTTCATTTATTCTTCTTCCTCTGCTTTCAATTTAGCATCTTCTTTAGCTTTCTCCTCCATCTTCTTCTTTTCGTCTTCCTTAGCCTTCTCCAGAGCCTCAACCAGTGTTTCCAGACAACTAGTCTCGTTCGCCTCACCTGATTTCGGCATCAAGCTCTCCGCAACATCCGCCGGCGTAATTTCCGTCTCCGTCAACAACCGTTCGATCGTCTGGAAAAGCTCGTGCGTTTCAAGCCCCAAGTAGTTGTTAGCAAGCACTTTAAACGCTTCGAATCCGCAATAGGAGAGCTCGATGTGCTTATCCATTCTCCCTCTCCGGATTAAAGCCGGGTCGAGCTTTTCCTTGAAATTGGTGGTGAAGACGATGATCCTCTCTCCTCCAATGGCGGACCAGAGGCCGTCGATGAAGTTAAGAATACCGGAGAGCGTCACTGCACTCTTCTTCTCTTCAGGTTTCTTCTCTTTCCCGATCTTCAACGGGTCGTCTACCTCTGTTTCCTCTGGTTTACCTTTCCTCTGACCGGTGAGTTCCAGAGAGCAGTCAATGTCCTCGATGACGATAATGGACTTACTGGAAGTGTTGATTAGGAGCTTTCTCAGGGTAGTGTTGTCCATCACGGCGGTCAATTCCAGGTCGTACACGTCGTATTCAAGAAAATTAGCCATTGCCGCTACCATGGAGGACTTTCCGGTGCCCGGAGGGCCGTAGAGGAGATACCCCCGCTTCCACGCCTTCCCGATCTTGGCGTAATACTCTTTTGATTTGCTGAAGGTGATAAGGTCGTCTATGATTTCTTGCTTCTTTTTCGGGTCCATTCCGATGGTTTCAAAAGTCGCCGGATGTTCGAAGGCGACTTGGGTCCACATTCGCGAGTAAGGGCTGAAATATGTTCCGTCGTTCCTGATGTTGGTGTACAGCTTCCTCTGCCGGTCCTTCACCGTGATCTCCTTCCCCTGCTCCAACACGTGTTTCAGGTAAGCTCCGGTGACGATGTCGCGGTGCTTCTTGTGGAATTTGAGGGTGAAGAACTTCTTGACTTCTTCTCCGCCGCGGAAAGAGATGGTTTGGCTGGTGGGGGGGTTCATGCCGGAGACCCACCAGAGTTTGATCCCATGAAAATCGTCGGTGACCTCCTCGAAATAGTCCATGCTGAGAACCAGAGCCTGGGAATCCTTGATGTCCTCCGCCTTGAGACGCTTAGCCTGATCGGAGGAATTGGCGGCGAGGTAGCGCTCGATGGTCTTGTACATGTTTCCGGAGGTGCCTCCCCTGAAATCGTCGCCGGAGAGTTCGTGGAAGGAGATGTGGATGTAGGGGTAGAACAGCCTTCTAAATTTCTTGGTGGGTGTCTTCAAGAAAGTACGGACTTCGTAGGGGCAGTACTGGGAGAAAGTGGCCCAAACCAGCATGAGGGTCACCACCGTCGAGCCCAGCGTCCCCCACACCGCCTCCATTCCCATTCCCATCGGCACCATCGTTTCTCTCTGCCGGAGAATTATATTTCCGGTGGGTACAACGGCAGCTTTTATGAAATGAAACTAAAAGGGTAGAAATGATCTGTAAATGATATGCCACTCCCCAGTAGACTCCCCTGTCTGGTGTCGTTATATATAAAGACACGGCAAGACTTGGTGACTAAGTAGTATGGTACTGTAGGGACAAATAAAATGGCATTATGACAAATCTCTAAACCTTTTACCAAAGGATTCTTGTTGTACACTTTTTAATACACTACACTCCGTGTTTGAGAGTTCTTTGTGTGTGAATCCCATGACACATAAAAAAATAGGCTTTTTTTGTCTATAGAATTTTTCACCGACAAAACAAGTCAGTTTTTGTTCATGTACTGAGATTCACACACAAAAAACTCTTATAAAAGGGGTGTTAAAAAGGAATTTTTGTTTACCAAAATCGGAGTAGTATGACACTTGGAGACCAAGAAAGTCACACCTTTTACTTTGAACTAATTTTAGATTTTTAGTAAGACGAGATCATATCATATCAGATCAAAATCAGATCACAATAGATTAGATCAGAAAATTTTGATCCAAGTAAACATACATCATAAATCTCCAATTCCATTCGAAGTTTGGGAAATTATGAATTTAACCATAATTTCAATATTTTGATACTTGAGAAGATCATTTAAGTTATTATGAAAAGTAAAAAAATACTTTTCTGATTGAAGTTACTATAGAAGATCATTTAAGTTATGAAAAGTAAACAGTTACTTTTCTGTTTGAAGTTACTATAGAAAATCATTTAAGTTATTTTCTTCATGCATGTTTTTTAAATTTAATTAATAAAATATATTTTATTTTTTTTCATTAAGTTCAATAGAATCAACAGATTCAATCAATTTTGTTATCAAACAGGTTCTATATTGTTTGTTTTCTTTAACTTTTTGTTAAAAATATTTCAATTTCTGGCCAATACCTTTCTCCAATGGTTTCAATAAATTATTAGGATGTTTTTACATAGACTATTTTAGTCCCACACCAGATCAGACTAGACTTAAACAGACCAGACTAGACCAGATTTAAACAGACTAGATTAGATTTGACTTCCGTAGTTATAAAATACACAGTGACTACACGTTTACCAGACAAGACCAGACTAGACTTAAACAGACCAGACCAGACTTAAACAGACCAGCAAATTACAGTCCAAGTAAAAACATCCTAAGTCTACCATTAACATCTATTTTTTTACCATTGATATTGATAGCTTCATGGTGCCCATATACTCTATCAGATGTATTTCATTCCTTGTTAGTTGTAAAATTAAAAAATTCAAATTTTAAAAAATTTAAAATGGAAGGAATTTAACTATACTTTTCAAAAATTAAATTTCTAATCCATTAATAAATAAAATGCAGTCAGAGAAAATGACTCACTGTACCCACTGCTTGTGCGATGTCTGGCCTTGTGCAAACCATGGCGTACATCAAACTTCCAATTGCTGAAGAATATGGAACTGCTGACATCTCCCTGATCTCTTCCTTGGATGTGGTACATGTTCTTTTGCTCAACTTGAAGTGATTCGCAAGTGGAACACTAACTGGTTTGGCATCATTCGTGTTGAATCTCTCAAGTACTCGTTCAATGTACTTCTCCTGAGATAGCCATAACTTGCGATTCTTCCTGTCTCGAGTGATCTGCATCCCAAGAATTTGTTGAGCTGGTCCTAAGTCTTTCATATCAAAAGACTTAGAGAGTTCTTTCTTCAGTTGGTTTATCTTCACTACATCTTTCCCAATGATCAACATGTCGTCTACATACAATAAAAGAGCAATGAAGGTACCGTGTGGAAGTTTCCTGATGTATACACACTCATCTGTAGTAGTCTTCTTGTAGCCTTGACTCTTCATGCATGAGTCAAACTTCTTATTCCACTGCCTTGGCGCCTGCTTCAAGCCATACAAACTTTTAGATAATTTACACACAAAGTTATCATTTGAGTTCTCCAAACCTTCTAGCTACTGCATATAGATTTCTTCTTTCAAATCCCCGTGAAGAAATGTTGTCTTCACATCCATCTATTCAAGTTCTAAGTTTATACTTGCTGCCAAGCCAAGTATAACTCGGATTGAGGTCATCTTGACAACTGGTGCAAAGATATCATCAAAGTCAATTCCTTTCTTCTGCTGGAATCCTTTGACAACCAACCGATCTTTGTATTTCACCACTTGTCCGCTTGCATCCTTCTTCAACTTGAACACCCATTTGTTTCTCAGTGCCTTCTTCCCTTTAGGAAGTTCTATGATATCATAAGTTTTATTTTTCTGCAGAGATTCTAACTCATCCTGCATTGCTATTAGCCATTTTTCTTTATCCTTATGAGACACAACTTCTTGAAAACTCTCTGGTTCTCCATCTTCAGTTAACAAATGATATTCAGATCATGTGTACCTTTTGATGGTATATGTCCTCGTTCAGATCTACGAACAGTTGGAACCATCTGAGAAGAGCTACCATCATCTCTACCTGGCAAAGTGGGTTGTGACTCCCCTTGCTCTGCACTCTCTTCCGTCTCCTCATCATCTTCTTCTTCTGAGCTGTTTTCATGCACTTCGTCATTGTTTCTCAAGAGTTGTTCAGGTGCTTCATTTAAAACTTGAGCAGCCTCATTTGACTTCCGAGACATCGTGAATTTTTCAATGTCTTCTATCGTCAAATCTTCATGGAACACAACGTCCCTGCTTCTATCCAAACTCTTCATTTCCATAGCCAACGAAAATGCATGGAATGATTCTTGCATCAAGCTTGTGTCTGAGATCTTTGGATACATGTGCATACGATGAACAACCAAATACTCTAAGATGTGAGTATGTAGGATCCTTACCTGTCCATAGCCTCTTTGGAACTTCAAAGTTGAGTGGTACTGAAGGTGATCAGTTGATAAGATAGCATGCAGTGTTGACTGCTTCTCCCCAAAATGACTTTGGAAGTTTAGCCATATTCAGCATGCTCCGGGCTCGCTCCATGATAGTCCGGTTCATTCTTTCAGCAACGTCGTTGTGCTGAGGGGTGCGTGGTACTGACTTCTCATGTCGAATGCCATATGTTCTACAATATGCATCAAATGCCTTGGAAGTATACTCGCCTCCATTATCAGATCGTGGACACTTCAGTTTCTTTTCTGTTTCACGTTCCACCAAGATGTGAAATGTCTTGAAGCACTCGAACACATGATCTTTTGTTATCAGGAAATACACCTACACTTTCCGAGAAGCATCCTTGATAATAGTCAGAAAATATCTGCTTCCACCGAGTGATTCCACCTCCAAAGGACCATAGACATCAGAGTCTACCAAACTTAACAACTCTGATCTTTTAGTTGAAGTAGAACTAAATGATATTCTATGTTGCTTACCAAATAGACAATGATTGCAAGGACCCAGTGCAACATTCTTGTCAATTTTGATAAGGTTCTTCTTCATCAAGGTAGTCAACCCTTTCTCATCGATGTGACCGAGTCTCAGGTGCCACAGATCCTGAGAAGCCTCCTCAGCAATGTTGAGGCTATCCGTACAAATCCTCAAATGGATTTTAAACAATGTGCCACAAATATGTCCTCGAGCGATTGTCAAAACGCCCTTTGACATTTTTCATGTGCCTGATAAGTCCGTAATTAGACATGCATTAGATGCGTGTTAGGATCAGGTTTGATGGTTTTCCCTAGCTTTAGTGTGTCACAAGTCTCAATTTTAGCTCAAGTTATGTTTACCGGGCGTTGGTTCGAGTTTTGTGTCATTTGGAGTCAAAATGAGGATTTTAGAGTTCTGCACCGGCGTTTGAGAAGAAATCAGGATGAGTTGTGAAGCATTCGAGAGTGATTTGAGAGCTTTGGAGGTCACCGGGAGGTTCACGATGAAGATTTGAAGGAAAAAGAGCTCTAGGATTGGCTACGGGATCAAAAGAAGATGAATGGAGCTTGAAATCGGCGATCAGGATGACCTTCTTTCAATCGTTCAATCATATCTCTTTTTAGAAACATTCAATGTAGACTATTAAAAGTCCATATGAAAGCTAACTTCAAGGGCTACAAATCATATAAAGACAACTTTGCTAGAATCGGAGAGAAAGAAGGTGAAAACAGACAATGAAGGCAGATGATCTCTGCTGCGATTTCAGAATGATACCTTCCACCGTTTTTATCATATCTATTGATTTGATGATTCAAATCACATTCGGCAAATTGGGGTGGATATATGACTTCATTATATACAACTTTCCTGAAGAAAACATTTCCAAATTCGGAAGCTACGTAGGCACGATCATGCCCTCAAAGTCAGGCACGATCGTGCGTGAAGAGAAAGCATCGCGGAGCTACTACCAGGCAGGCACGATCGTGCTTGGAGGGAGGCACGATCGTGCCTGCCCAAAATGTGCATTTTTGCTCCGGTGGCACGATCGGAGACACGATCGTGCCTGCCTCCGGAAATCCTAATTCAGCTCAAATTTTACCCGATTTTTCTATTTAAACAGTCTCTAAACCCTCGTTTTCAAGGGGAAGCTTAGAGAGAGTGCCTAGTACGAATTTTAGAGAGATTTTCAGCCTTGTTCATCAATATTTTGGGATTCTTTGTAAGTTCCACCTTTTTAATTAATGACAATTAATTCTTTTCTTCCCAATTCTATTGATTCTTCAATTATGAATTGTGAGTAATTTTAATTAGGGATTTGGGATTGATGAAGGGGTTGATCATGATGTATGGCTAGATTCTTGATGGTTTAATTGCATGAATGTCGTTTAGATTGTGTTTGAATAATTTAATTGATATCTTTTGTAACCTGGAACCGCGACTAGAATTACAATTGCTTATAGAATAAATTAAGAGAGATCTAGTTTATTCTAGGATACAGTCACACATACTTAATCGTTCGCTAAGAGATTAGTAGCGATTAAGGGGCCGTAAGCTTGCTCGTCTTGGAAATAATTTAGCATCTTGTCGCATGAGAGATCAGCCTGGTCCCCTAAATTATTGTACTCTACGCCGCGAGAGCGGTAAGAACTTAGTAATGATTAGCTAGACTCAATTAAATTAATTTCACGCGATTAAGCCTGATCTGCAAGAAATCTGATTACCCCGTAATCAATCATTGCGCCCTTCGTCATTAATTACAAAGAACACATTAATTTAATTTCTTTATTCGCAATTTAATTTTCCCAATCAATCAATGTTGCACAATTTATTTTGTTTTATTTCTTTTTCTTCGCTAAAATTAATTCATTCTTGATTCCCTTTTGTCTGTTCCTGTGGAGATGATACTCGTACTTACACAACTATATTACGATCTATTTTAAGTGCGAGAAAAATCACATCAGTTTTTGGCGCCGTTGCCGGGGACGGTGTCGGTTTTAAGGGTTAAATAATTTCAGCGAGATGTTTTTTAGTTAGTTTTCTTTTTTGTTCTTCGTAGGATTTTTTTGTGCTAACCTTTCAGTTTTTTTCTAAGAGGCATGAGATGAACTCATTCAGCCAAATTCCTAGAGAAATTCGTTACCCTCAATCCTCAACGGTATATTCACCATTTACGTGATATCCTCCTTACACTCCTCCTCAACTCTACCCACCTCATCAAAATTACTCTCCCATTCAACAAAATATTCAGTCTTACTATTCATACTCTCCAACCATGCAACCTAGTCTGTCTAAGAATAATTTTTGTTCCTTTTGTGGAGGATGCCACCATATATCTTTTTGCTCCGTTAAACATCCTTATGACCATTCTTACTGGGCAACTGCATACCCAACTTCTTCCTCCCCACAATTTACGAACACAAATGTTTCAGTCACTCCTACGTCTTTGCCGAGCTATGAGCCACAGGATGAATTGGAAGAGATAATTTCAAAGAAGCTGTCTGACCTGGAAGAAACACTCAAGCAATTTATGCAAGCAACTGAGGTGAATCGTCAATCAATGCAGTCGAGTCTTTAGAACATGGAAAATCACTTGGATCAGCTGTTTAATGCTCTATCTGCGGAGTCCGAGAGATCCCATCCTAACGACACAGAAGCCCAATCCGAGGAGACCAATAAGGATGATCATGGGATTGATTCAGACTGCGAAGGTGGGAATATGATGGATGATACACTTCCAGACGCTTTTGAAGACCCACCTATGATTGAACTTGAACAAAATTATAGTAGTCTCGAGTTGGTTTTCCAAGAATACAGGCAAAAGTTTCAAACGGTACAAGGTGTAACTAACAAAGTCACAGATCACTGTGATTTCCATACAAAAATTCCCCAGCCGTTTGATTTGCCATTAGTCTCAACTCCTGATGAGGGAGGAAAGGGGCAGATGAGTCATGACATTGAAGATGATTTGGGAAAAGATAATCACGAGCTCCAAGAGAGTGGTAGCAAGGTAGATGATCTCCATGATGAAGAAGTGCCGCTCCACATACAAGATTACTCCTCATGCGTGCTTTCAGATTTGGATTTCTTTGATTCACTCCTTGATGATGCTATTCCTTTTTGTGTGGAGAGTGACAACATCACCCGAGAAGATATTAATTAGAGTGGTGACGATAAGAGTTGGGATGCCTTCATGGAGAGTGATATTGAGTCAAACGTAGGTGCTCCGAATTTCAACGGTACATTTGAGCAAGGAAAGGATGTGTTTGTGATGCATTTGGAACCAAAGGATGTGAGGGAATTTTGTGTAGGAACCACTTTTGGCACTGTTCTTATGCCCCACATGGGGTAAAAATAATCACTTTTTAGGAATTTGATACTTTCGAGGATTGCATTGTAGGCATGGATTCACGACTGAATTAATGACATTTAATTGCTATTTTTCCTTGGTGAGGCCGAGATTAGAATGGGGTAATGTCTAGTGAAAATCCGAAAGGTGAAAAATTAATATAGCTAGACCTCTTACTTTGCGAAAAAGGGAATAGGAGCCCCGGTCAAAAAGCGTAAGATGAGACTTGGGTATCTTTCGAAAGAAATGGCGTTCTCGTGCCAACATGACAAGGAAAACAAAAAGTAATGAATGAACTTGGAGGCTATCTCAAAAATTAGCTATAGTCCTCCGCGTACTTCAAGTATACGTCAAAGCACAAATGTGCTGCGACGGTTTAGCTTAGTTGTACACCATGTCTACTTTTTGCATAAGGTTTAAATGATTGTTCCTAATTTGTGGCCTACTGAGTTCCTTGCCATAAAGAATGGCCCCGATGTTCCTGATCGCATAAAGTCTTTGTTAGGATGTTCCAAACTCTCAAAAAAGGTCTGTTTATTACCATTCACTATTCATCACCGCCTTCACAAGTCCTTCTGATCGGTAGCTAGTTTATTAGAGCTTGTTGTCACTACTTTGAGGATGTTGTGAATAATTTTGTCAAATATTTTAGCTAGAGTACAAAGATGTAGTTTAGGGAAGAATTTTCTTGCTTTAGTTTGTCTGTTATGTGAATATCCCTTTAACTACATGTGCATGCTAATTGTTTTGATTCCGTGTGGTGATTATCGTAAGTCCCGTTGTTCAGTTTGTTTGAGGACAAGCAAAATCTTAAATGTGGGGGAATGTGATAAGTCCTTATTTAGACATGCATTTGATGCGTGTTGGGATCGGGTTTGATGGTTTTACCTAGCTCTAAGGTGTTACAGGTCTCAATTTTAGCTCAAGTTATGTTTACCGGGCGTTGGTTCGAATTTTGTGTCACTTGGAGTCAAAATAAGGAGTTTAGAGTTCTGCACCGGCGCTTGAGAAGAAATCAGGATGAGTTGAGAAGCATTCGAGAGTGATTTGAGAGCTTTGGAGGTCACCGGGACGTTCACGATTAGAGAAGATATTAATTAAGAAAGGCAGGCACGATCGTGCCTGGAGGGAGGCACGATCGAAGGAACGATCGTGCCTGGCACCGTGCCTGCCTCCGGAAATTCCAATTCAGCTCAAATTTTACCCGATTTTTCTATTTAAATAGCCTGTAAACCCCCATTTTCAAGGGGGAGCTTAGAGAGATTGCCTAGTACGAATTTTAGAGGGCTTTTCAGCCTTGTTCATCAATATTTTGGGATTCTTTGTAAGTTCCACCTTTTTAATTAATGACAATTAATTCTTTTCTTCCCAATTCTATTGATTCTTCAATTATGAATTGTGAGTAATTTTAATTAGGGATTTGGGATTGATGAAGGGGTTGATCATGATGTATGGCTAGATTCTTGATGGTTTAATTGCATGAATGTCGTTTAGATTGTGTTTGAATAATTTAATTGATATCTTTTGTAACCTGGAACCGCGACTAGAATTACAATTGCTTATAGAATAAATTAAGAGAGATCTAGTTTATTCTAGGATACAGTCACACATACTTAATCGTTCGCTAAGAGATTAGTAGCGATTAAGGGGCCGTAAGCTTGCTCGTCTTGGAAATAATTTAGCATCTTGTCGCATGAGAGATCAGCCTGGTCCCCTAAATTATTGTACTCTACGCCGCGAGAGCGGTAAGAACTTAGTAATGATTAGCTAGACTCAATTAAATTAATTTCACGCGATTAAGCCTGATCTGCAAGAAATCTGATTACCCCGTAATCAATCATTGCGCCCTTCGTCATTAATTACAAAGAACACATTAATTTAATTTCTTTATTCGCAATTTAATTTTCCCAATCAATCAATGTTGCACAATTTATTTTGTTTTATTTCTTTTTCTTCGCTGAAATTAATTCATTCTTGATTCCCTTTTGTCTGTTCCTGTGGAGACGATACTCGTACTTACACCACTATATTACGATCTATTTTAAGTGCGAGAAAAATCACATCAGTGCCCCTGCTAAAGTGGTTTTCATACCCCTGTTCGTCAAGACATACCATTGACAGGAGATTGAGCCGAAGGTCTGGAACATGTCTGACATCCTTCAAAGTGTTTGTGCTCCCAATACTTGTCTTTATTTGTACACCACCAATTCCAGCTATTCCAGATGAACTGGAATTACACATCTTCACCGCTCCAAAGTCTCCAGCTTTGTATGATGTGAAGTACATGTGGGGAGTAACGTGGTAAGATGCTGCAGTATCTACCACCCATTCAGTATCCTCTCTTGAGACGTGCAGACATGTTTCATCATTGGTAGTACAGTACGCTACATCACCTGAGATTGTGATGAGCGCTTCACCACCCTTGTTCTTCGTTTGTAAATTGCTCTTCCCTCGCTCCTCTAGCAATTTGTAGAATTTTTTCTTCGTGTGACCCTCTATACCGCAATGGTGGCAGGTTTAAGAAGGTTTTCGGGCATCTGATGATCTCCCCCGACTTTTGCCTCTGCTTTGCCACTTTCATCTACTGTTTCTTTTTTGCTTTTCTTGTGGTCTTCCTCGAATCTCCGTCACAAGGGCATGAGTCTGATCTGTACTCATGGCTTTTCTTCTTGCCCCCTCATTGAACAGTGCATCCTTGACCACAAACATGGTAAGTTTGCCATCTGGGGCTGAGTTGCTGAGAGTAACAACTAGTGTCTCCCAACTATCAGGAAGTGAACTAAGAAGTACAACCTCCGTCCCAAAATGAACTTCCCATTTCGGATTACGATACTTGACCGACGATAAAGCAACTCGATCCCTGTTCAAACTCAGATTACTTTTAGTAAATAAAATTTACATATTGAGAAACTACATTAAAACCGCTACAAAGGCTGATAAAAAAATATAAATTTGATAAAAGTTTGATATATAAAACATAAGATTAAGAGTAATTTAAGTTGACCATGTGAATAGTGACTCTGAAGTTCATTTTGGGACGGAGGGAGTAGTAGAGAGTGCATTTCATCTCCAAGTGGCATTTCTACACAAGATAGTTGGTTTACCAGACTCTCAAACTGACTAGTATGTTCGGCAACAAAAGTTCCACTTTTGAGCTTCATATTGACAAGGCGCCTCATCAGTAAGGCCTTATTCCTAGCGGTCTTGGCCTGGTACATATCTTCTAACATCTTCTAAAGGGCATAAGCGTCGGTTTCTTGTGCAACATGGTGGAAGACACTATGGTCAATCCATTGTCGGATTTGACCAATAGTTTTTCTATTAATTTTCTTCCACTCCATTGACTTAGGTAGGTCGGGATTAATACCTTTCATCTCGATTGGATCAAAAAGGTCTTTACAGCTAAGGAAATCTTCCATCCGAGATTTCCATAGCGTGTAGTTGGTAGCCGTGAGCATAATCATAGCTCCGGAAGATGAAGTTGACTTGTCAAAGGTCATTTTGACCTTCTAAATAATTTTGATTTTCTGTTTGAGGTAAATTAGAGAAGAATTTTGAAAAACAGGCAACACCGTTGCGTCTGGAATGGCCGAAAATGATGGGGTAGACACTTTCAGGGTCAAAATACAATTTTCGAAAAATTATAGGTGGAAATTATAATTTTCCAAAAATTGAGGGACCAAATTGCAATTTTTCAAAATTTTAAAACTGACCGATGACGTGGCAGGTGACATGGCAGGGCGTGGTAGTGACGTGGCACTGATTGGGCGTTGACGTGGGAGCTGATGCAGGAGCACAACAGGTAGTTGATGTGGCTGACATGCGAGCTGCTGACTGTGCAAAAACTGCCTGCGTGTCGTTGACGCGGCACTGACTCGCTGGTGACGTCAGCTTTGATGCAGGTCTTCTTCTTTCTTGGAAACTGTGTGCTGGATGATGTCAGCGATCTCACCACCGGCTCGTAGGTGGCGTGTGTGGGTGCTTCTGGTGGCCAAAAAATTCCCCAAAAATACCAGTTTTCTCATCTAGATGGGACGAATATAATGATATGTTCATATTGCAATTCCGAGCAAAATTGAAAAACTCACATTTTCAGACAGTAGAATTTTACCTGAAAATTCTGGGGAAAATACCAAAAAGCTCAACCAGGCTCTTATATCTCTTGTTGGGAATAACAGGATCGTGCTAATATGAGAGAAAAATATTTCTATTACTTTCAAGAATAGAAGGAAGAGACATACAAGCTCTATCTAAAAACTCTCAAAAACACTTCACATATCTCTCAAGGATATTCACAACTCAAACTTGATTGTCATATGATGATCTATGATCTAATTTACTTGATAATAGAAAAACTCTCCAAGCTCTCTATTTAATGGTTGCGCTTCTTTCCACTCAGCCACGGACGTATATGGCCATATATCTAATACTTATTTAACACAAAAATAAATGTATAATTTTAAATGTGGTGTGTGTATATATGTGTGTGTGTTTAACACAAAAATATATGTATAATTTTAAATGTGGTGTGTATATATATGTGTGTGTGTGTGTGTGAACAGGAAGAGTCAACGGAGCTGGCTCGGACTGAGCCCATTCACCCCTGTTGTTTTAGGATCAAATCGAACTGCAAATTGAGAATCTCAATTTGAGATCTTCCTGTACCGAAGATCCAATGCAATAATAGGGATAGTAAATGGTGTAAAAAACAGAAGATGAAATAGGAAAAGTATGAAAAGAAATATAAACAAAAATAAATAAATAAACTGGTGAGTGTAGCTCAACTGGTAGCAGTGGCGGAACCAGCTTCGTGATCTTGGAAGGGCACATTACCTCAGAAGGCTCGGCTCTTTACTACCTTTAGAAATCTGTGTACAAAATTGATTCATATTAATTCTTTGTCAAACTTGAGCGTGACTATCCACAACAACAAAAAATAACAAGCTCAGTACATGGCTATAGCCTAAAATACACAATAGCAAAGCTGCTACGCCAGTCACCTCAAAACAATAATGTTCTCGATCAGTCGCTAGATCTAGTGGTCACCAGCGTTATTCACTTATTCTGGCCTAATTCCGGCGAATTCCAAAGAAACTCGCTCAATGTAATCAACCCTCCAAGCTTCAAAGTTAGTAGTCGAGCTCATAAATATATTACTCCCTTTGTTTTGTTAAGATTTTCTTACATTTTCTTTTCAGTCTGCCTCATTAACATTGATCAATATCAAATTTGATTGTGGTTCTAAATTATTCTTACATTCAAAAGTTGATTGTCTACCACCCTGTAAAATATATATAGAGAGAGTCATTCTCCTGTCCAGCAGCCCCCGGTCCGAAGTCCGAACGTCGTCCGAACACCGCCGTTTGGGGAGGTTCCAGGTGTAATTTTTTCATGAAATATTTTGAGCAAGTTCCTCATCAAGTCTAGTTTATCCATACCAAATTTAAGCTTAAAATTAGACCGGGAAGGCAGTCAAACAATTTGTTGAAGTTAACTGCGCCAAATTATACATAGAAAAACGCAGTTAACTTCAAAAAATTATTTTACTGCCTTCCCGATCGAATTTTAATCTGAAATATAATATGGATAAACTAGACTTGATGAGGTACATGTTAAAAAAATTTCATCAAAATATTCCATCGGAAAACGCCCCAAACAGTGGTGTTCGGACGGTGTTTGGACAGAAACGTGCTGAACCTGAAAAGTTTTCTCTATATATATAATAAAAAGAAATCTGCAGAGCCGCAGAGGCACAAGCACCCCAAGCTCTAGTGTAGTTCCGCCCCTGACTGGTAGCAAGGAAGTGCCACAAGGGTTAGGTCCCGGGTTCGAATCCCGGCAACTGCGATGAGGGATTACTATGCTAAAAATGCATAAAGCCTCTGCAAGTACCGGGGACAAAGCCCCACTCTCTATATGTCAGATTGGGATTATAGTCCAATTTACATCCTTGCAACGTACCGTCCGGTCGGAGTTGGGGACCCCTCAGGGATGTGGTGTCATCCTTTTCCAGTTGGTGTATTCAATTAGAGTTCTTCTTGTTGTACCAACTTTTGTACACACATTTGTACTCACCCCTTATTTTTTCTGTGTACACAGACAAAAACAGATAAAATGGTGCCTTGTTCTTAAAGAATAGCCTTTGTGCACTAGCAAAATAGGGGGGTGGGTACAAAAGTGGGTACAAACACATTTTTTGATTCAATTATGATTAATTTGATCTATCCTCCACTTGGTCTCTACACTTTCTTATATTACATTGGATCCTCTTACCATCATGTTACTACATACGTAGTATAATACATGTTATTATAAATACATGCTCTCACTTTACATTGGAGTCACACAATTCACCTTAAGTTCTCCCATAGAAAATAATGAGTTCTTTTCTCACATTTTACCAATCCCTTCATGAAAATGAAGAAGAAGAAGCTCATTCCGGTGGCATACGAAATTTTGTTGGGCAATTGTCAGTGTGTATGGTTCATAGTACTTACTATTTCACAATAAGTACTTTCTAAACAACAGTTTCACAAGAAGTGAAATACTCTTCTCACACTCAATTGCGAAGAAAAAACCAATGCATTCGAAGTTTAGAAAGTGTAATTTAGGAAAAATTGATTGTGATAATCTCAACTATTGGCGGTCCGCTTATAATAATCCCAACTATCGATTATTTCAGAATAATCCCAGCTTTAGGGACCTTTCGCCAATAATGGTCCGACGTGACCGATTGTAAATAAATTCCTATAGTTTCTAAAAAGATATAACATGTAATCCCTATAAATAATCCTAAATTTTAATTTTTACGCTTAATTTGTATTAAAAATTCACTAGTTGGAGCAGGTAATATGCGGTCATGGACCATTATTGGCGGACGGTCTATATAGTTTGGATTATACAAAAAAAATAAATAGTTGGAATTATTGTTAGCGGACCGGTAATAGTTGGAATTATTATTTTCAATTTTTCCTTTAATTTATCAGTAAGATATTTAAATATTTTGAATTTTGATATAAGATAAATCACGCGGAGTAATATAATTATGATATGTGAATTCCATAGTAACACATTGTGATTCTCCTTAATTAATTAATTAAGGCTTACAATTTTCGAAGGCCCGAATCCATCATATTTCAATTCACAAATGCTAAAGGTATTCCAAAATATACTCCATTTTTACCCCACCCCCTAATGTGTGGCCATAAATGGGACAATTCATTTAAGTGAGACACCACTTAAATGAATTGGCACATTTATGACCACAAATTAGGGATCAGGGTAAAAAATGAGGTACATACTTCGAAACTCATTTCAATTTGGCATCTTCTTTAGCTTTCTCCACCTTCTTCCTTTCTTCTTCCTCTGCTTTCACTCTGGCGTCTTCCTTAGCCTTCTCCAGAGCCTCAACCAGTGTTTCCAGACAACTAGTCTCGTCCGCCTCACCTGATTTCGGCATCAAGCTCTCAGCAACATCCGCCGGCGTAATTTCCGTCTCCGTCAACAATCGTTCGATCGTCGGGAAAAGCTCGTGGGTTTCGACCCCCAAGTAGTTGTGAGCAAGCACTTTAAACGCTTCGAATCCGCAATAGGAGAGCTCGATGTGCTTATCCATTCTCCCTCTCCGGATTAAAGCCGGGTCGAGCTTTTCCTTGAAATTGGTGGTGAAGACGATGATCCTCTCTCCTCCAATGGCGGACCAGAGGCCGTCGATGAAGTTCAGAATACCGGAGAGCGTCACTGCACTCTTCTTCTCTTCAGGTTTCTTCTCTTTCCCGATCTTCAACGGGTCGTCTACCTCTGTTTCCTCTGGTTTACCTTTCCTCTGACCGGTGAGTTCCAGAGAGCAGTCAATGTCCTCGATGACGATAATAGACTTACTGGAAGTGTTGATTAGGAGCTTTCTCAGGGTAGTGTTGTCCATCACGGCGGTCAATTCCAGGTCGTACACGTCGTATTCAAGAAAATTAGCCATTGCCGCTACCATGGAGGACTTTCCGGTGCCCGGAGGGCCGTAGAGGAGATAACCCCGCTTCCACGCCTTCCCGATCTTGGCGTAATACTCTTTTGATTTGCTGAAGGTGATAAGGTCGTCTATGATTTCTTGCTTCTTTTTCGGGTCCATTCCGATGGTTTCAAAAGTCGCCGGATGTTCGAAGGCGACTTGGGTCCACATTCGCGGGTAAGGGCTGAAATATGTTCCGTCGTTCCTGATGTTGGTGTACAGCTTCCTCTGCCGGTCCTTCACCGTGATCTCCTTCCCCTGCTCCAACACGTGTTTCAGGTAAGCTCCGGTGACGATGTCGCGGTGCTTCTTGTGGAATTTGAGGGTGAAGAACTTCTTGACTTCTTCTCCGCCGCGGAAAGAGATGGTTTGGCTGGTGGGGGGGTTCATGCCGGAGACCCACCAGAGTTTGATCCCATGAAAATCGTCGGTGACCTCCTCGAAATAGTCCATGCTGAGAACCAGAGCCTGGGAATCCTTGATGTCCTCCGCCTTGAGACGCTTAGCCTGATCGGAGGAATTGGCGTGAAGAGAAAGCATCGTGCCTTCCCAAAATGCGTGTTTTTGCTCCGAAGGCACGATCGAAGGCACGATCATGCCTGGCACGATCATGCCTGGCACCGTGCCTGCCTCCGGAAATCTCAATTTAGTTCAAATTTTACCCGATTTTTCTATTTAAACAGCATGTAAACCCCCGTTTTCAGATGAGAGCTTAGAGAGAGTGCCGAGCACGAATTTTAGAGGGCTTTTCAGCCTTGTTCATCAATCTTTTGGGATTCTTTGTAAGTTCCACCTTTTTAATTTATGACAATTAATTCTTTTCTTCCCAATTCTATTGATTCTTCAATTATAAATTGTGAGTAATTTTAATTAGGGATTTGGGATTGATGAAGGGGTTGATCATTATGTATGACTAGATTCTTGATGGTTTAATTGCATGAATGCCGTTTAATTTGTGTTTGAATAATTTAATTGATATCTTTTGTAACCTGGAACCGCGGCTAGAATTACAATTGATTGTAGAATAAATTAAGAGAGATCTAGTTTATTCTAGGACACATCCACACACTCTTAATCATTCGCTAAAAGATTAGTAGCGATTAAGGGGCCGTAAGCTCGCTCGTCTTGACAATAATTTAGGATCCTGTCGAATGAGAGATCAGCCTGGTCCCCTAAATTATTGTACTCCACGCCGCGAGAGCGGTAAGAACTTAGTAATGATTAGCTAGAATCAATTGAATTAATTTCATGTAATTAGGCCTGATCTGCCAGAAATCTGGTTACCCCGTAATCAATCCATGTTCTCTTCGTCATTAATTAGAAAGAATCCCCTAGTTTAATCGTTTTATTCGCATTTTTATTTTCCAGCGACCAATCTCGCACGATACATTTTTATTTATTTCTTTTTAATCACTGAATTTAGTTAATCTTTGATTCCCTTTAGTCCGTCCCTGTGGAGACGATACTCGTACTTACACCAATATATTAAAATCTATTTTAAGTGCGAGAAAACTCACATCACCCACTTTGTTAAAAACTGAAACACATGCCTCTTTGAAAACGGCACAAACCACAAGTACATTTTATGTATTTTTCCTTCATTTTTTATTCTACTCCCTTCGTTATACTATTGCAAACCTTATTCCTTCATATTATAATGTTACTTGAGAACAAAAAACTAGCAAATGAACGGTGGCCGATTTTTGAGCATGTTAAATCAGTTCTACATATCCATCGTTTTCCCCGTCAGTTCTTTTAATCCCGTTTTATTCAAATTGCTTGAGTAATGAGTTGAGTTATTTTAATTTAAGCATTAAGTGACTTATAGTAAATTTTGAGTGGTATTGTTTAAGTATATTCAATTTATTTGAAAACAAGCATTTGGATTGAGAATACCTTTTAGTTTTTTATATTAATGTGGAGGATCAATTTTGCATTTGAAACCCAAAGCCTATTAAGTCATTCTCGAGTGACATGACAAACATGCTCTATTTACGCTTAAAACGTTAAATCATAGAGAACATACTAAGTATTTGTTACATTCAAATATTGATGTATGTTATTTTGTTTGAAGCGTATTATATCTTGTAGGAAAGATCATTTTGACTTCTAAAGCTATTGTTCCGACTTCATTTACAATGCATTAAGTACATGGTACAAAATAACAGATTAAACTCAAACTCACAAACATTTTCTGATTTCACTCCGAACTTGTGTAGAATTTGATCTGATAATTTCTTAATGTATTTCGTTCTGTTGAAAGCATTTTCTATCTCGTTGGAAAGATCTTATCGAGTTCTTAAACATGTCTTCAAATGTCGGTTTCAAAATATTACGAGATGATTGCCTAAAGAACCGAATTTCGAATCCAATATTGTATTCACGCTAAAAGTACTTTATTTACCTTGAAAATAATGCTAAATCACATAAAACCGCTGGAAACCCCTCATCTCTGTCGTATGCTCTTAAGGACCAGAAATCAACAACCACCTTTACCAGCTGTTAACCACCATAGCCAGAGTTCTTAAGGACCAGAATCATCCATAACCAACTAATTCAAATTTTGATTCTTGAGATTTTGTGTCATTCGAAATCCATAGCCAAAATCTCCATCTCGAGAAACCCAAATTCACAGACCCGAAATCCCCTAACCCAAATCCCACACACCCGAGATCTTTAGCCGACATCATCAGCCCGAATTCCCTAACCCGGTTTCTTAAACCACGAAATCCATACCTGACATCCTGACCCCCGATTTCACTTATCCAAGTCCTTAGCACCGAGATCCTACATGAGAACCTAGCCCGTCATTCCGGGGCGGACCCAGAAAAGTATCTTGGGGATGAAAATATTTGTTTGGGAGATCAAAATATTTTTTGGGAGTACGAAAATTATTTTTCGTATATATATACGCTAAAAAATATTTGTTGAGACGGTGATAGCCTCCCTGGATCTCTACTACGGTCCGCCCCTGCTGTCATCCTAACATTCGAGATCCTTCACCCGCGTTCCTTGGCTCCAAGACCCGAGTTCCACACCCGACATCCCAAAACTCATCCCCTACCCCCGCATTCCAATACCCGACATCTTACACCGGAGTTCTAGGTCCAGAGATCTCAAATTCTCAACCATCATCCATCCCCGATATCTCATCTGACATACACCCCGAATTCTTTCCCCGAGATGTCACCCGCAATAATCACTTGAATTAACCCTCAAAATCCATAGCCACACAGATCTCACCTGCAATCATCACCGATATCTCTACGTGATATAACTCGCGATTTATCCAAAATCCTTTTATCCAAAATCCTACACACAAATCCATAAAACTCAAACCTACTTTCATTAAGCCTCGGCCCAAATAACATTTTGCCCATTTAACCCAGACCCAACCCAAACTCATCATCTGTTTATTCTTTGCAGCACATGCATAAATGACACTCTTATCTAAAGAAAGGTTTACCCACAAGAGAGCTGAATTGATATAAAAGATAACAACTCTCTGTTAGACCTATAAGAGTTCAAATGCCAAGATGTGATCATGGTGTCCATTCTGAAAGGGCATACACTCTGGTCAGCTCTTAATCTCTCAGCACAAGTTCCCAAAATCTACCTTAGACAATTTAGGGGGAAGGATGCACTCTGTAGCCAATACAGAGTGATTATATCTGCATCGAACTGCCTCACTCAAAATTTCTAAATTATGATTATACATTTATACCTGTGTGGATATGTTTTTAGTGATTGATAATTATATGTGACATTATTGAGATTTTAGAAAAAACATGGACCAAAGATCTTAATACTCCCTTATCCCGAATTGAATTGCTAACTTTGACCAGCACAAGGATTAAGAAATGACAATAAATGATGCTTGCTTTTTACACTTTTGCCCATCTTTCTAAAAGTAAAGCCTTTAAGTTAATGGGAAAAAAATAAAAGTAAGGGTAAATTTGTCACTTTATTCTTATTTACATACCTAAAATAGAAAGTGGAAAACCATTTTCGGACAATCAAAAAAGGATATTTTGTAAATCAAATTGGGACGGAGGGAGTACATGATAATTAATCATTAGACACTACTACATATGTTATATTTAAAGAGGTTGTTCAAAACCTCTAAAAAGTAAGTTTAGTGTTTTATTATTGATTACCGTCAATATATTTACTAATAAGTAGCAAATTCTAATGAATGATGACATTTACTTTTAACTAATATTATTTTACCTTTAATATGTATTGTACTAACTTACATATTATGGTGTTGACTTATTGTTCTCACTTTTTTAGTACAATGTAATTTTATTTATTTATTTTGTTTTTGTTTTTAACGAGATCATGAATACAAATATGTGTACAAATGATTCTTTCCCATGCGGCCATGCGTATGCATGTGTACTATAGTGATTCCTTTTAGGGCTTGTTCGAGGTAATTTTACATGAAGACAAGAATATGATGCAAGGAATGTTAGATGCCCATGTTTGATTCGCGAGGTTGAGAAAAAACCGGAAAGTTATATTTCCGGGGATGTAATATGGAGGGGATGTTAAACCCATCCATGCCTTGGGTTATCTGACATTTCCAAGGATTACCTAAGTCTCTTCCGAAAACATCCTCGTTTAATTATCTATTTTCATTTAACTTCTTTTCGACTCTTAATTCCATCTTCAATTGGGGCTAAAAAAAATTAACCATATTTTCTCTTCGTCTTATGATAATAGACTTTTGGTACTACATTCGTCCCACTTAAAGTTTACGTCCACTATTCTCCTGTCAACGTAAATATTCTTAATCTTTTACTTTACATATCCAACAGATGGAGTATATGGGCCCAGACCCCATGACCCACATACTTCCACTACTACGAACAGGACCAAGGCCTCGAGACGTACGGCCTCCATCACACAGGAAGGCCCCGGGGACGTACGGCCTCCAGCCCATAACAGTCACCCGGGGACGAACGGCCTCAGGCACAAGGAACACCCCGGGGACATACGGCCTCCAGCCCGTAACAGTCACCTGGGGACGAACGGCCTCCGGCACATGGATCTCCCCGGGGACGTACAACCTCCAGCCCGTAATAGTCACCCGGGGACGAACGGCCTTCAGCACTCCGTCAGCCAGACGTACGTCTCCAAGGACTTCGTCTGCCACAGCCAGACGTATGTCTCTAAGGACTTCGTCTGCCACATCCAGACGTACGTCTCTAAGGACTTCGTCTGCCACATCCAGACGTACGTCTTCAAGGACTTCGTCTGCTACAGCCAGGCGTACGTCTCCAAGGACTTCGTCTGCTAGACTTCCATACTTAGCTCATACATTCGAATGTAATCAGCCCAATAGAGGCCTTATATTGTAATGGGCCTCCCAAGCCCAAGACTTGGGAGCCTAGCTCGCTTTTCCCTATAAATACTCCCCTTGGGAGCCATGTAAAGGGTTCGAAACTCATTTAATACAAACCACTTCTCTCTCTAGTTCTCACTTCTCTCTAAGGGTTAATACTCTATCACCAACATTTATCAAATCTGAAATTTTGCGACTTTAGAAGCCTTTTAATTTTGTTTTTGAATATGTAAATTTTATTTACTAAAAATAATCTTAATTATTATTGACAAAGATCTTTTAATTTTATAGTCGGTCAAATCTAGTAAATTGTGTGACAATATTTTAAGTGGAACATATGGAACATGTTTATATAACTATATTCACATGTCTATTCTTGTTATTTGCATTATTCTTTTTTCCTTAAAATTGGTTTTTTTGAAATATTTGTGTTATAAGACTTAAAGATTATTTATGTTTTTGAAGAGTGGATTTGAAAATTTAATGGAAAATTGATAATTTTTTCTTTAATTTGAAATTAAGTTTTATAAATAACTTGAACATTTTTTAGATTGAATATTTTTTCGAAATGATAAAAAATATATTTAGATTACTATTTGAAGAAAGTTTGTTTTTCATTTCTGTATTGGATCTACAACTTTTTATAATTAAACACACTTTACTTAAAAATAATTCAATTAGTTTTGATTTAATTTATTATTAAAATATGAAGTAATTCGTTTTTTTCTTTAATTTTAATTAATTTAGATGTGGGTTGTAACATGTTTATTGTGTTAAGAGAAAATATTTAAAGACCGTTGAAGTAATTCATCAAATCTGCAATACTATTTAAGCAAACATGAATGAGAAAAACTGAATACATTCTTAACATACTCCGTATCCAACGATATTACATTCTAAGATAATACTTCCTCCGTTCTTTAATTCTTGCAACATTGTGATTTTTGCACTATTCACAGATCTTGCTTTGACCACGATTTTTCTACTAATATACATAATCAAATTATTACATATAAGATGTTATTAAATTCCTATCAATGTGAATTTTCAAAATATCAAATTTTTATAATGTTTACTAATACAAAATTAAATATAATTACAGTCAAAGTTGTGCGTTGACAAACGTGAAAGTCAAACTGTTGCAAGAATTAAAGAACGGAGGATAGGATGACATTTCTTAAACCTAACCCTTAAAGAGTAAACCAATCCACCAATCACGACTAGCAAGTAGCACTGTAGCACCTATCTTCATCGAGCCACCGCACTGATAATTTCAAAATTATTAGACCTTAGCCAACTGTTTTAAACGTCGGTATAACAAAGATTTAAGATAATTTCATACGATTAGTAAAATTTTGACATAAACAAAAACAAAGAGGTCAAAATTTCACATCATATTTTTTTAATCCTCATTACATTGAATTTGTCAAACCCCTACCGTGAAGTAAAGACTACATTGAACCTTTCGATATTTAATAATAAAATAAAGAAAAAAATATGAAAAAAAGTTAAAATAGTTCTTCACACAATTCAACCATAAAATTTATTAATTTGAAGTATTATATAATCAATAATTCAAAGTGCGAACTAAAAAAACTAGTGTTGAGAAAAAAATAAAGTACAGAAAGAAACACAACTTATTTTTGTAAAAGTAAGATCAATAAACTCAATTTAAATAATTTCTCAGAAAGATTGTATGGTTCCTCAAATTTGAAGTTCATTTTCTTCGTTCTAAAGTAATACTCAATCCCTTATCTTTTGTAATATTTTTATAATTTTACTTAAAACAAAATAAATAATTCAATTTTATCCATATTTTATACAAGTACTCAACCATTTCATAAGAAGTGATTAAGTGAATACTCTGCTCACACTGGATGGCAAAGAAACTCCAACATGAGATAATCAGATAATCTTCTCAAGATAAAACAGTGCATTCAAAGTTTGGAAAGTTTAATTTATCAGTAATATCTTTAAATGTTTTGTGATAACTAATAAACCGAAATATAATTATGATATGTGAATTCCACAGGAATGCGAATCTCCTTACTCATCAATTAAGGCTTACAGTTTTCTCCTTAAACTTCTCCAACTTCATTCTTATGCTTTCTCCTTCTCCAACTTCATTTATTCTTCTTCCTCTGCTTTCAATTTAGCATCTTCTTTAGCTTTCTCCTCCATCTTCTTCTTTTCGTCTTCCTTAGCCTTCTCCAGAGCCTCAACCAGTGTTTCCAGACAACTAGTCTCGTTCGCCTCACCTGATTTCGGCATCAAGCTCTCCGCAACATCCGCCGGCGTAATTTCCGTCTCCGTCAACAACCGTTCGATCGTCTGGAAAAGCTCGTGCGTTTCAAGCCCCAAGTAGTTGTTAGCAAGCACTTTAAACGCTTCGAATCCGCAATAGGAGAGCTCGATGTGCTTATCCATTCTCCCTCTCCGGATTAAAGCCGGGTCGAGCTTTTCCTTGAAATTGGTGGTGAAGACGATGATCCTCTCTCCTCCAATGGCGGACCAGAGGCCGTCGATGAAGTTAAGAATACCGGAGAGCGTCACTGCACTCTTCTTCTCTTCAGGTTTCTTCTCTTTCCCGATCTTCAACGGGTCGTCTACCTCTGTTTCCTCTGGTTTACCTTTCCTCTGACCGGTGAGTTCCAGAGAGCAGTCAATGTCCTCGATGACGATAATGGACTTACTGGAAGTGTTGATTAGGAGCTTTCTCAGGGTAGTGTTGTCCATCACGGCGGTCAATTCCAGGTCGTACACGTCGTATTCAAGAAAATTAGCCATTGCCGCTACCATGGAGGACTTTCCGGTGCCCGGAGGGCCGTAGAGGAGATACCCCCGCTTCCACGCCTTCCCGATCTTGGCGTAATACTCTTTTGATTTGCTGAAGGTGATAAGGTCGTCTATGATTTCTTGCTTCTTTTTCGGGTCCATTCCGATGGTTTCAAAAGTCGCCGGATGTTCGAAGGCGACTTGGGTCCACATTCGCGAGTAAGGGCTGAAATATGTTCCGTCGTTCCTGATGTTGGTGTACAGCTTCCTCTGCCGGTCCTTCACCGTGATCTCCTTCCCCTGCTCCAACACGTGTTTCAGGTAAGCTCCGGTGACGATGTCGCGGTGCTTCTTGTGGAATTTGAGGGTGAAGAACTTCTTGACTTCTTCTCCGCCGCGGAAAGAGATGGTTTGGCTGGTGGGGGGGTTCATGCCGGAGACCCACCAGAGTTTGATCCCATGAAAATCGTCGGTGACCTCCTCGAAATAGTCCATGCTGAGAACCAGAGCCTGGGAATCCTTGATGTCCTCCGCCTTGAGACGCTTAGCCTGATCGGAGGAATTGGCGGCGAGGTAGCGCTCGATGGTCTTGTACATGTTTCCGGAGGTGCCTCCCCTGAAATCGTCGCCGGAGAGTTCGTGGAAGGAGATGTGGATGTAGGGGTAGAACAGCCTTCTAAATTTCTTGGTGGGTGTCTTCAAGAAAGTACGGACTTCGTAGGGGCAGTACTGGGAGAAAGTGGCCCAAACCAGCATGAGGGTCACCACCGTCGAGCCCAGCGTCCCCCACACCGCCTCCATTCCCATTCCCATCGGCACCATCGTTTCTCTCTGCCGGAGAATTATATTTACGGTGGGTACAACGGCGGCTTTTATGAAATGAAACTAAAAGGGGTAGAAATGATCTGTAAATGATATGCCACTCCCCAGTAGACTCCCCTGTCTGGTGTCGTTATATATAAAGACACGGAAGACTTGGTGACTAAGTAGTATGGTACTTTAGGGACAAATAACTCAGGTAAATTTCTAAAAAATGGGTTACTGTACCTTTCAGACTACATCACTTTATTATTTTTAATTTAGTTTTAAATAATTCAACTTCTACATTTTCATTGGTCCATGTGAACAAAGGTATGGTACCTTATGGGTACCATAGAATCTACCTTATGACAAATCTCCAAATCTTTTACCAAACAATTCTTGGTGTACACTTTCTTATACACATCAGTACACTTCGTGTCTGTGAGAGTTTTTTGTTTGTTAATCACAGGCCACATACAAAAATAGGCTTATTTTGTCTGTAGAATTTTTCACAGACAAAACAAGTCAGTTTTTATCTGTGGACTAAGATTCACAGAAAAAAAAACTCTTACAGACACGGGGTGTACAAAAGGAATTTTTTTAACAAATGCGGAGTAGTATGGCACTTGGAGACCAAGTACGTCACACCTTTTACTTTGAACTAATTTAAGTACGATCATATCAGATCAAATCAAAATCATATCACAATAGATTAGATCATAAAATTTTGATCCAAGTAAACATACATCATAAATCTCCAATTCCATTCGAAGTTTGGGAAATTATGAATTTAACCATAATTTCAATATTTTGATACTTGAGAAGATCATTTAAGTTATCATGAAAAGTAAAAAAATACTTTTCTGATTGAAGTTATCATTTAAGATCATTTAAGTTATGAAAAGTAAACAGTTACTTTTCTGTTTGAAGTTACTATAGAAAATCATTTAAGTTATTTTCTTCATGCATGTTTTTTAAATTTAATTAATAAAATATATTTTATTTTTTCATCAAGTTCAATAGAATCAACAGATTCAATCAATTTTGTTATCAAACAGGTTCTATATTGTTTGTTTTCTTTAACTTTTTGTTAAAAATATTTCAATGTCTGGCCAATACCTTTTGATGAAACGGTTAGCAACACAAGGGGGGGGGGGGGGGGGGGTGAATTGTGTGTGTGTGGAACCGTGACAGATTTTCGCACAGTTCTAGTGTGGGGTTCAGGGAAATGCGAAATTGTAAAGTGCACAAGGATTTAACGAGGAAAAATCCCTTGGCTCAAAGGGATTAAAAAACCTCGACCTCCCTCGGAGGAATTTAAACAACTCTACTAAAAAGCCTTTGAATGATTACAAGGGAAACTCTCATAGTCTACCCTTGAGCCACCCCAACTCTATCCTCTCTAGGAAGAATTATGCATCTCTACCTTGCAGGTAGAGAGCCTCTCAGCTTTACAACAAAGCTTTCACACACACGACCCCAACCCGAGGAAGCTACACTTTAGCTTTTCCTCAAAATCTAGTTACAAGATAAAGATGGGAGAGGAAACTATATCTAGAACTTCGTAAGCAGGTCCAGGTGCCTTGGTCATGATAATACTTTGTAAGTATATATCTCTGCAATTGCTCGGTCTAGCACACCCTTCTTCCTCTTGGTTCTCGAATATATAAGCCACCTTGATTTATCCGTTGGTGTCTCTTTCTTTGAGTAATTGAGCTTCCATATTTGGAACTTGCCTTGATATCATTTGAATTACTTTCCTTCTAGTAGCTCCCTCTTATTCGTTCTCAAATGTGAGTACATTGACTCATGATTCACGAATCATTATATAAGGGAATAAGCAGCAGCAAAATATTCATGTAATCAAATTAAATTGAGCTACAATGATTTCCATATTTCCGAGATCCTTTCTAAAAGATTTTTTCATTTAATATTTCAATCAAGGATGATTTTACCAAGTATAGCATGCTACGGACAACTATAAATATGGCAATGTATTCATTTAGCATAAGTAGTGATTACTTCCATAACGTGCAATAACCATAATGGGGGTCAGTTCTCTAAAGTGGGTGCTTGTCATACATGAGAGATGTGTCACGTGTAAAATAATATAGCTTCATATAAATGAAATATAGGCAAGCATAGATAAGTGAAACACTTAGTATGGATAAGAATGATAATTATGAACAGAACAAGATACGTTCCAATAGTAGTTCTATCCAAGGGTTCCTCCTGCACGGTCAGTTTGTTTGGACTTAAGGATAGTGTTCAATTCTGTTTAAGGTTAGTCATCAACAAAACTAAATAATCAACAAATTCCCCCTTTTTGTTGATGACAAACTTTAGGTGCCGGAAACAACAAGTCCTGGAGATTAGTGTCTAAACCAACACAACAAGGCCGAAACATAGTAGTAGCAATTTTAAGTGTAGCAGTTAAACAAGTCCTGCATGGTCAGTTAAAGGAAGGAGGCACTTGATTATTTCCCCCTTTTGGCATCAACCAAAAGGAAACAAAAAATAACCAAAACAATGTCGGAAAGTAAGTAAGTGTAAGTATGATATCCCACCCCAAAAACATAATATTTGAAAAATGTGTTTATGATAGCGAATTAGTCTTCATCGGATGAGGGTACAATCCTCCTGTGGAGCCCTTCACTGTCTTGCTCAAACCTGGCCAACACCTCATTTTGAAAACATTTTAAGTCATTGCGTACTTCATCAAGCCGACTGGAAAGTGTGATCACCGATTCTGCCAATGAATCAAGCCGTCGTAGCATAGTGAGCTCCATAAGGTGTAGATGTTCTTTGACAAGAGTAACAAAATGCATCGGGTCAGGAGAGGCAGCAGGAAGTGGCTTAGGTTTAGAAGTTTTGGACGAAGGAACTGGTGTAATGGTTTCCTTGAAGATGAGTTTAGAGTTGTGAGCGGTTATGCCGTAGCTCAGAAGACCCTTAGTATCAAGATTTTTGTGAATGGTGTGGTAAGGCAGATTGTCGAGAGAGATCCCAATTTTGATGAACAAGTGTGTCAAGATAGTGCCAAAGGGAATCCCAACCTTTCTAGCGCGATCACTGATGGTAAATTTGAGATGAGCAAACATAAGGCCAGGAAGGTTAATAGGGGTTTTTGTGGCTAGGAGATACATATATGCATCTTCTAGCCTAGATGAAATCAATCTTCCTTCCAGTCGAGGGATGAGATTGGAATGGACAAAGTAAAACAACAACTTGTGGATGGGAGACAGATTACTCACAAGAAGGGAAATGCTGGTAACATTTGGGTCAAAATATTTTATGGCATTCATCTGGGTCAAAGTTGACAGAGGCCACTCCTCCTTCTTGTAAGGGCATTCACCAGAATAGAGAACATCTAACGCCTTTGCTAGTTCTTGGACAGTTAAGCGTAGCTTGGTACCACGAACACGAGATACAAGTGCATTGTCTTTGATTATAAGATTAGCAAGAAAATCGGATAGACAGTCAGGGCAGATGGGACAACAATACTTTGCTTCGAAAAGAGACCCCCATTTTTGAAAGGCAATGAGCCCTACAAAATTGGTAGTTTGAGAGGAGAGTGCGGTGAAGGGGATAGTGATTACCTTTACCATACCTCTTTCCTGGTATGCATCTTTGAGTTTGAGAGCATCTTCTTCCGCCACCTTCCCTAATTTTGGAATTTTTTTGGTTGTTTGCTCGCCTGAGATGATACCTTCTGCAATAGCTCTCTTTCGGGTGTATTTTCGAGGCAGAATCTTCCCTTCGCGAGTGAGGGGTTTTTCTTTAGAATGCTTCACCGGAGAGGGAGTGGCTGAGGATGGTGGGTTTCTTTCTTGTCCCCCCTTGGAAGATGCGGGGGAAGGTGGTGGTGAATTGGAAGACTCGAAGTGTTGATCTTGCATGCTCGCAGGAGAAGAGGTTTCAAGATTAATTGGAGTGACTGATGAAGGTGGGGAAGGTTGTGGGTTCCGTTTCCATCCTGAACGTCGAAGTGCAGGAGGGACACAACCTCTAGTTTTGACCATGGCGGTTAGGGAAGAGAAGAGAGGAGGATTTTATGGAAGGTGGGAGTTGTTTTGGAAGTGGGCGGCTAATTGATAAGTGGAAGCTGAAATCCTCCTACCTTCCTGATGGAGTATATGGCCCGGGAACCCCCGGCCCACAGACTCCTACTACTCCAGCGAAGGCCCAACAGGCCCAGAAGGCCCAGATCACAGCGCCCAGAGTACCAAGCAGCCCGCACTACGCGCCAGGGGTGCCTTCGGCCCCCTAGCCGAAGGCTCTAAACTCTCACAGGACGGGCTTCTCAAACAAATTAAGAAACGGGGAGAAAACGGCAAAAACAGTAGCCCTCGGCACTGTGAGCCCTCGGCACCAGAGTGCCATCGGTTGGGGGAGCCCTCGGCTACTGCTCTATAGCCGAAGGCATCTCACTCGACAAGATATCCGCCTCACATGCGTGCAGATCACCGTACCCTGCACAGACGTCCCATCCAACAGCCGCATTAAATGCGGCCACATGCGGCTGCCAGCGCCAACCAGTTGAGGTGACCCCTCGGCCAATGAGCGCTTGACACGTGTCCCTGTCCGGCATTTATTGCTACTATAAATAGCACCCCATTTCCCCATTTGTAACCACGCTGAAAACGGCACTCATACTGAATACACTCTCTCTCTACATTTACTTGCTTACTCTAACTTCTCTCTAAGTTATTCCCCGCAATAACCCCTCGGATATATACCCCCGGGTAGACTATCCATCATTTGGTGCTCTCGTTGAGAGGTCGAACAATCAAGTAAGAAACCCTCCCCCTCGACCAAACACAAAACACTAGCCCTCTATCAAAATGGTGAGGACAACACGTGCCAACTCAAAGAACGTAGAAGACAAGAACCTGGCCCTCGGCGACGTCAACGCCCCCGAAGCCTCTCACAGGGCTCCCGAGGGCGGTGTCATCGCTGGGCTGGAACAGGCGGCTGTCGACCTACGCCTTCAGATCCAACAAAATGCCCCCGATGCCCGCCTCGGCATCGAGGCCAAGAAGAAAAACCGGAGCGATGACCAAGTCAGCCCTCCGGTTCTCACCATCGACGTGCAATCGGCGCTCTCCGCCTTCATCCAAACGCTCACTCAGAACCCGGGTGCCTTCGGCACCCTGGCTCCGGCTCACCCCCAGGTTGGGGAAAACATCATACTCCCCCTCC